ACCGATTGATGTAACTTCCTTGTTTTTTAATTTAAGTGTAAAATAACTCGACGTGTCTCTGCCATTGCTTACAGAAAAGTATATTTATAGTAATTTCTTCTTAATACACGCTTTCTTTCTTAACACTACGCCATCTGCAGATCTTAGATATGATTCTTTTGTTTGACGCCGGCACAATAGCTTGGAGATTTTAGATTTTAAAAAAGATTTCGAAGATGGCGGTAATATAAATTCCTAAAATTAAGATTAGTCATCCAAGAATTTTCATACTTAATTCTTAGTTAAATAAGCACAATGCTATAGTTAGTTTGCTGCCTTTAACACCCAAGAAATATAGTTCAAATGTTATTTCAGTTTTTTAAAATGGCACCAAAGTGGTGCCACCGGCATACAACAGATAGTTTTTGCATGGCACCAGCGTTAATACGCGCTCGTTTTTATAGTTATCGATTNCTATTTGGCTCTCGGATTGTGCACGAAAATTGGCAATTTGCGAAAAGGAGGTACGATTATGTTTCGATCATATAAGAGCTGTTCGAACAAACACCGATTGATGTAACTTCCTTGTTTTTTAATTTAAGTGTAAAATAACTCGACGTGTCTCTGCCATTGCTTACAGAAAAGTATATTTATAGTAATTTCTTCTTAATACACGCTTTCTTTCTTAACACTACGCCATCTGCAGATCTTAGATATGATTCTTTTGTTTGACGCCGGCACAATAGCTTGGAGATTTTAGATTTTAAAAAAGATTTCGAAGATGGCGGTAATATAAATTCCTAAAATTAAGATTAGTCATCCAAGAATTTTCATACTTAATTCTTAGTTAAATAAGCACAATGCTATAGTTAGTTTGCTGCCTTTAACACCCAAGAAATATAGTTCAAATGTTATTTCAGTTTTTTAAAATGGCACCAAAGTGGTGCCACCGGCATACAACAGATAGTTTTTGCATGGCACCAGCGTTAATACGCGCTCGTTTTTATAGTTATCGATTGTCAACAGCTATAAAAACAAGCTACAAGGCTCGAATAATCCTATTTCCTCTTCCTGAATTGTCCACCTTTGTGTACAATCCCTAATCGCAATTAGGGAGAATTTACTGTGTACTTATTTATTCGTCTAAAATGTCGTCAAACTCAAAATAATCAAAATAATCCCATCTGACCCAATCTTTGCTCTCTATTGACATACGAAAAAAATGTTTCGATGCACGCACCGCGGGATTTCAGAACGAGAATTTCTGGGCACTCTTTTTTCGCATAATGTCTAATGCCCAATGCAATTCAGGCGACTGCCGACTCTAATTCCTTTAGCGGAGCGATCGCGCTCTGTTGCTAAGTAAGCGCGTAATTAGACGTGAATTCATTTATAAGACAGATAATGTGATTATCGTTCGGAAACTATGCAGATGTACAGGGCGAGTCATCTAACTCGGTCACGTTAAATTACTCGTGAACAGTTTGCTGTATGAAGAACTGCCACGAGCTAGAATTGTATGGCTTACGATATTATAGTCTTCTCTTCTGGTTAGTCTTGTCTTCTTCGACTTGAAACATTTCTTCTTTTACTTGAAACATTTCTTCTTTTACTTGAAACATTTCTTCTTCGACTCGAAACATTTCTTTTTTTACTTGAAACATTTCTTCTTCGATTCGAAACATTTCTTTTTTTACTTGAAACATTTCTTCTTCGACTTGAAACATTTCTTTTTTACTTGAAATATTTCTTCTTTGTCTGGAAATATTTCTTCTTCGACTTGAAACATTTCTTCTTTTATTTGAAACATTTCTCCTTCGACTTGAAACATTCCTTGTTTGACTCGAAACGGTGTTAGGTACAGATTAGAACCAAGAATGTTTAAACATTCACTTAGAAGGAAACATGTCCAACATTTGTTTGAAATGTTTACGTGACACAGTCAATAATTAGCAAATAATTTTAACCACTCGCCTTATGAGACGCTGCATCCGCAAGAGCTAAACTAAACCATTGACAACTGCAACAACTGCAAATCCGCAGCCTAGTCATTAAAATTGATTAATTACAACATACATACACTGGCTCGAACTCGTTTTGCACTTCGTCCAAGAATTCCTTCTAAAATATAAACAGAAGTCCGATAATAATTCAGCATTTTCATATCAAAACGATCCAAGAATTCACGTCAGAAAAAAAATTCATTTAATTCTACAGGTCAGTTCCTGAGGTCATTCCAAGTAACTTTTTCCTTTACAAAAATTTTCTGCGAGGCGTCGTTCACAAGTTATTAACGAAAAACAGTGACCAATGGGAGGCGAGCTCGTTTAGCGCTAGACGGCCGAGCCAATCGGCGGAGCTGGGCTTCGACCGCTAGTTGGCTCGGCCGCCTCGCGTCAGCCAAGCTCGCCTCTCATTGGCCGCTGTTTTTCGTTAATAACTCGTGAACGACGCCTCGCAGAAAATTTTTGTAAAGGAAAAAGTTACTTAGAATAACCTCAGGAATCCCTCATTTCCCGGAAGTACCATAATCTTGGGACACCCTTTGTACATCTTATCGCATTAAAACTTGCGTTTCCAATACCTCCGCGGTCACCTGGATTAGCCAGACAGGACTGCCCGTATGAAAGGTCAAAATGCAAATGTCAGAATCGCGATGCTCCGCGAGCCTCGGCGTTACAGGCACGGCACCTTAATTACCCGGCGAGCATAGACAACGCTATCTATCTTCGCTCGTCCCTCCTGTCCCCGTTCCGCTTTCTTCTAGCCGTTCGCTCGGACATTTTTACGAGCTTGTTATAACGCAGCTCGGAATCATCGTATCCGTGGGTAATGCGTTCTAGAACGGGCGGCTGGTGCCCGAGCGACTTGGGCTACTAACCAATTTACGATCGGCGGGGCTGCGCCCACGAATTGTATGTAGTTAACCCAATTGGAAGCGTTGCCGCACGAAGGGATCCTCCTCGTCCGGGCCGTTCGTTTCTGAGCGGTCGTCTTCTATCTCCTTATACTTTGAAATTAAACGTTTCGATTAACATTCATCGATAGGAGAGAAGTTCGCGCGACAACGACGAAGAGGAGAAGGAGAGAACCGGCGCTTTTGTCTCGCGAGCCCCGGCTCGGCAGCCTCGGATCCGAAACAAAAATATACGGAAATTTATTCGGTCCTCGATAGACGTTCTTCACCTTCGTCTCGATGGGCGCGGGGTAGTGGCTCGAGGTGGTGCACGTAATTGTCGGGCCGAAGTCGAAGATAAACGTCGCGGGGCTCGATTGTGAAAAATTCTCGGCGCGAGCCTCCCGGTCCAATTGAATCTTCCTCTGGTCGGAAAAGTTTCGCGCTTCAATGGGAATTTAATATTATTCTTGCACGGTGAAATTGGTGGGTTGATTATTCGCGGGACAGAGTTCTAATGATCCTTTCTTCTATGGATTGCTCGCAGTGGCGGCGGCGGTGGCGGCGGGAGGAGTGAAAGGAAACCGGGATCGGGGAACGGTGGCGCGGAAGGTTCTCGCCCCGCCAAGATTTATGGGAAACTTGTTGTGTTTGTTGAAAGTTTTATACCAACCGGGTTTCTGTCTCTCGCGAGAACCAAGCTGGTCGAGGCCGTCTTATGACGGGACGATCGAATCGTTTCGCTGAACGTCTCTTAACCGGTTAGCTGGGCTCGACGAGTATACTCGTCGTGGAGAAGTGGCTGTATTTTGTGTCATGGCGAGTACAGTCGTCATGGAGAAGTGACAGTATTTTGTCTTACGACGAGTATAATCGTCGTGGAAAAGTGGCAGTATTTTGTCTTGACGAGTATACTCGTCATGGAGAAGTGGCAGTATTTTGTCATGACGAGTTTACTCGTCATGGAGAAGTGACAGTATTTTGTGTTACGACGAGTATAGTTGTCATAGAGAAGTGGAAGTATTTTGTCTTGACGAGTATATTCGTCATGGAGAAGTGGCTGTATTTTGTGTCACGACGAATATACTCGTCATGAAGAAGTGACAGTATTTTGTGTTACCACGAGTATACTCGTCGTGGAGAAGTTGCAGTATTTTGTCTTGACGAGTATACTCATCGTATAGAAGTGGCAGTAATTTGTCTTGACGAGTATACTCGTCATGGAGAAGTGACAGTATTTAATCTTGACGAGTATACTCGTCATGGAGAAGTAGCAGTATTTTGTCTTGACGAGTATACTCGTCATGGAGAAGTGGCAGTATTTTTAAAAGTATTTTAAAAGTGTCACGACGAGTATACTCGTTGCGCGTAAAAAGTAGCGATCATTGGCTATTTAAATTGTAATTTTAGCGAAAACAAAAACATATTCTTATACTTCAAGATGTTTAGAATATTTTGAGGCGAAGCCAGAATAAAACAAACAAATAAAAACCATGATTGATTTGAGTTAAACTAATAAATATAAAAAGAGACTAATCAATATAGAAATTACTGTAAATATATTTACAGTAATTTCTTCTTAATTCGCGCTCAGATGGATAATTTGAGAAGAGGAGATACGATTATTCGAGTCTTGCGACTCGTTTTTATAGTTGCCAATTATCAACAACTATAAAAACGAGACGCGAGACTCGAATAATCGAATCTCGTCTTCCCAAATTGTCCATTTTCGTGCGCAACCTAAGCGCGAATTAGGGAGAAATTACAGTATACGTCGCAGCCAGAAAATATTAAAATGTCACACATTAAAATACACATAAATATCGATGTAAACAAACATCGAATCCAAAGTATCGTTCTATCGATCCGAACCGAATCATGTTCGCCAGTTATTCATTTCTACAGGTAGAATCGCAGCGTTTTCAGCGATAAATCTCCACGAGTCAAACAATGCCGCGTCTTACAGTATAGTCGACGGCCGTATTCGAGTTTAATAAGTCCTAGCCTGCACGCTAAGAGCCGTAAAAGCAGCACATAATATAGGTTATAATTCCAGTTAACTGTGTACGTTATTACACGCTCGTGCTCTCGCTAAATCCTGCTCTACTCTTCTCGTTTGTTACAGTACTACGAAATGTCTTACGGTATCACGGTGGAGATGCACAAGCAGGTAAGTAGTCGACTCTCTTGAAACGATGATGATCCCCTCCCGTAGCTTGATCAACCCCTCGATCGCGCGTCTTTATCTCGTCGAGGGTGGCCTAAAATGTGCGCGAGGGCCGCCCTCTTTCGCCCCCCCGCCCACCCCCTTTCGCCGAACACCGGCGACGATGGGGCATTAAACGGGATCGTCGCTCGGTTTAAGAATTGCGACCTGATTTCTATCGCGTTTCCCAAACAGCAGCGAGGGGTGGTTTAAGGATCAAAAGATTTCTCGTTAATTAAGTTCGGAATATGTCAGCTGATCCGGCGCGGCCCGGCACGCGGTCCACGGCCGCAAAAACGAACAGGGGAGAGCGACGGGGCGCATCTGCGCCGGGGAAATCGTGTAATTTTAGCTAATTAGGGGAAACACTGGGTCATCCCCCTCTGTCAGCAATTTTCTTAAAAGCGACCGCGACCCCTCGTCGCAGGCGGCCCGACAGGGAGGGACCGGCTTCTCGAAAGTGCTGGAGGATATCTGGGACTGGGGGTGGGAGGGGGGAAGAGGGTGGTAGGCAGGGGAGTCCTAAACTCCCAAACAACCCTCTGTGACACGACGAGCTGATATTCATTAGCATTAGCGGCCGATCATTTCTCACCCTTGTACCCAGGGGTGTTGCTTAATGGGGTGCAAGCCCAGTTCGCGGAGCGGGGGGGAGGGGCACCGTCGTCGAATAGGCCGGTCCACCATTAAATCGCCGCGAAATTGCGTCCGGTGGCTCAAGTGGCAAACTGGTTAGCTTAGAATGCTTTATAGCGGCGTTGTTATTGCCGTGTACGATTTGCGCTTCGAATTGATACGTCGGCCTTACGGCGTAGTACCGCGTAATTGACTCATTAGCTCTACGGGCTCGGGGTACTTTCGTTCACTGTTTGAACAGGAGGATCGTTACGATGGGATTGGTCTCGCGGAGCTGTCGATCGCCAGCCTCGCTGCGGATTTCGTCGAGATACGTACTACGAGTCTCGCTCGTGTTAGGACACGCTTTAAGGCGGTGTAAATTTTACGAAATTCAACCAAATCGCTTGGGATTTTTAACGCTTCGACTGTCGCGCGAATTATTCTCGTACCTTATACAGAATATGAAGCGACCGATTTGCACAAAATCGTATTTTTATGTACATTGTTACTGCGTTAGGTGGTTTTTAGTATTTTTGCTTGCACCTCTTACGTATATATGTATATAAAAAAAAATCTAATCTAAGTAGTGTTGCGCATAATTCTGGCTCTTTTTAACACTTTTACTGACAGAATAACTTGCTTAGATTTGAAAATTCATTTTCACACTTAATTCTATAATTTTATACGACGTTTTGAAATTTTTTAATTTATTGTGAAATAAGAAATTTATTATTATTATATATTATATTATTATATATTATTTTATAATGATTATATATTATATTATTATATATTATTTTATAATTACTACTTAATTTTATTATATATTATTTTATATATTATATTATTATTATATTATTATTTATTTCAAACGAGAAATTTTTTTACAAATAAAAATTTCAAAAACATTTCGCAATAAAAATAATAAAACACAGGAAAATTAAAAAAAAGAATGTCATAATAAATTCAGAAATTTCAAAACATCATATAAAATTAGAAAATTAATTCTTGTTAACAAGTACAAACGTATTTTTAAACTTTCTTTTAGATAGGAAAAGAATATCGTTTATCAAAAACTGAACTTTTAGCCAGTACAGAGAACGTTTCAATTCGCACTCCACATACAGAACAATGACAATTAAGAGATCGAGTATCGTTGAATCCCACAATAATTCTTGTCTTCACAGTAATATTAAGACACGCGTGAAACGAGACCGACCGCGTCGTAACAAGCGCCGCGTCGTTTAAAAAATCTCCGCGGCCGGACAGCGTTCGGAAAAATATATGTCAAAAACCGCGAAGTTAACGTTCGCAAATCGATCCCGCCGGAAAAATACGCGGTTTTCTGTTCCGGTGACGTAAACGGCGCGCTCTATGACGACGTACCGTGCAGGAAGTCGCAGCTTTGCTCGAACAGGGTTGATTCGCGGAACGAACCGGATATTTATTCGTCATCCGAACATTTTGTCTATTTTCAGTTACATTTTTTGGACGATTCTGTACGGATCCCGTGTTCGTCAATCTCCGCGGGGGGTAACGGTCGGAGGGGAAGAGGAGGGGGGTCGTCGTTAAAAATTCTCCAACGCGATAAAAGTAGCGCGGTTTAAAAGGGTTTTTCGGCATCTGGCACCGTTCAAACAGCTCGAAACGGTGCACCGTTTCTGTGACGAGGGAAATGAAAGTAAGCGGTTACCCGATACGCTCGTATAATTGCTAATGGACGCATAGGAGGGCAATAAAAGTAAGAGTAGGAAACGGAAAAATCGCTGGTCGCCAGGAAATCAATCCCCTTCGGGCGTAGTTTCGCGACAAATTGTGCGCGAGGCGGTGTAACGCGATTCGTCCGAGCTCCTAACGCTAATTAGGGGAGAAATGAAAAGTTATCGGCTGAACTTGTTCGTCGATTAATCCCGGTGCACTGTGTTTTTTGTGGATAATTCACCGTCAGCCGTATCGATTTAATAATTCTCATTCATCGTCCGCGATTCGGGCGGCGAATTATTGTGCAATTTATTGCTCCTTGAACGCGATTACTTAAATCGCGAGTGTTCCGATATTTCGAAAGCTTACGAAATTTCTCACGGCTGGGCCCGCCTCTTAACGGGACGAAAATTTTGCCGCAGCTATATTTTAACGATTATTTTATCTTAATTACCACAAGATTCGATGTGCATTCTTTTCGTTGAAAATGCGATTCGTTTGTCAATTCGTGAAAAAATTAAAAATAGATAAAGAAATTAAATAGATAATAATTGAATAGATAATAATTAAATAGATAAAGAAATTAAATAGATAATAATTGAATAGATAAAGAAATTAAATAGATAATAATTGAATAGATAATAATTAAATAGATAATAATTAAATAGATAAAGAAATTAAATAGATAATAATTGAATAGATAATAATTGAATAGATAATAATTAAATAGATAAAGAAATTAAATAGATAATAATTGAATAGATAAAGAAATTAAATAGATAATAATTGAATAGATAATAATTAAATAGATAATAATTAAATAGCTAAAGAAATTAAATAGATAATAATTAAATAGCTAAAGAAATTAAATAGATAATAATTAAATAGCTAAAGAAATTAAATAGATAATAATTCGTTAAGAAAATTAAATAGAATTTAACTAGCCGCGCGAAAGAAACTCTGTGAACAGACTTTTATTATACTTTGATGAAGTTACAGAAATTATTTCAATTCGATGAATGCTACCGAAGCAATATTAAATACTGTCGAAAAGCGATAATTAAACAAGAACGAACACAAGGCGGAATGCTACCGAACAATTGCTCCGATCAACGCAACGAGCAAACTTGCCGGAAAAATAGCGCTTAGAGAAATCAACTTAACCCAAATTCATTACGAATTCGGAGAACACCGCTCAACCGTTAACTATGTTAATTAGGAAGAATATCTAGCAGCCAATATATTTGGCTATCGAGGAAGCACATGACATAGAACAAAGGAAGTGTTCGCACGCTGACGTAAAACAATGTACGTTCGAACAGAATTATTTTAACCATCGAGGAACTATTTGCAGTAAAATTCACCCTAATTGATTTGATTGCAGGCTTGCGATTCATTTTTATAATTGTTGATAATGATCGGTAACTATAAAAGCGAGTTGCAAGGCTCGTAGAATCGTATCTCCTATTCCCAAAATTTTTTCCCCATTTTTACGCGCAATCCGAGCGTCGATCAGGGAGAATTTACTATAAAAACGTGTTGCAAGGCTCGTAGAATCGTATCTCCTATTCCCAAAATTGTTTCCCCCATTTTTGCGCGCAATCCGAGCGTCGATCAGGGAGAATTTACTGTACAGTAATGTCTCCCTAACTGACGCTCAGATTGTCCACAAAAATGGACAATTTAGGAAGAGGAGATACGATTATTCGAACCCTGCACAGCTCGTTCTTCTAGTTGTTGACAATTCGAAACTATAAAAACGAACCGCAAGGCTCGAATAATCGTATCGCCTCTTCTCGAAATTGTCCATTTCTGTGGACAATCTGTGCGTCAATTGGAGAGACATTACTGTATTTCTATCATTGCCGCAGAATCAGCACGCAAAGACCATCCCAAAGCCGGCGTTTCCACCGAAAAAGAAAGTTTCCCCCGAGGTATAAAGTAATCGTCGCTTTATTATAAGGGATGATCTTCGACCTAAAAAGTTCAGGGGACCGAAAGGTTCCGGTTCAGCCACTCGATCATATTGCCCGGTGTAACTGCGGCGCAAAGTGTTTGCGGGTTCGGTTACAGCCCCATTTCCATTATCAGTTTCCCTTATTTATGGACTACTTACTATATATATATATATCTCGACCCTCGGCAAATGAGAACGCGGCGACTGAAAGTACAAAAAAAAAGGAAAGACGCCGGGGGAAACGAAATTGATTGCGTCGCCGCCGGTCGCGCGAATTTCAAATTTCGCTTCCTCGTTGGCTCGGTGTTTTCCGCGTTTTACTATGAAGGCGGAATCAGCCGAGGCGGAGGCGTCGGTCGTCGGGGGCGGCTCCGCGGGGAGGGAGGAGGAGGGTTCCGGGAAAAGAATAAATCATCCTCCGTTCGGTTGTCCCGGCACTTAGCCGGCTTTCGAATCGCGGTCTTTGGTCCTCGCTCCTTTTCAATTTGAGCACCGAATGAAAACAATCTTCCCCTACGAGGTTAGACCATCTCTCCGGCGTTCTCTTTTCCTCCGCGACCCACCGGCGCGCCCCAACCCCCTCGGTTCGCCGCTCGTTCCACCGGTCGTCCCTCCCCATTCGTTTTTACCCTTTTTAGCCGGCACCGTTGGCGAGTCTCTGTGATTTCATCCGTCTCGTTCTCTCACT